CAAACTCTGGAAAAACCCACACCTGGTTAATCAATAATCAGAAGGAGCCTCTTGCTTGCCCATTGGAACTGCTTGCTTAACAAGTTTTCTTTAAGCGACATGTCATTCGATTACTAATGTATAAATAAGGGGGAAAAGTTTGAGGTAGTGGGACTCTTCATGACTGGACTCTCTCTCTGGATACATCTTGTGTTCCCCACTGGCAGACGAGCTGCCGTTGTCCCACTCGAGAGCCACACAGCTTAGGTAATTATCGAGGGTTGGGGGTGTTTTACTAACCTGTTGCAGACGTGGGTAAGTGCTTGAGACTAAGTAAAGTTTAGCTTTAAGTGAAAACATTCTTGTGTTGTCCTGTTTGTGCCAGCCATCAAACCGTGTCTCCCCTGATTTATTTCCTGACATCACCTTGCATAGAGTAAAAGTTACAAAGAACTGTGGGTTGAAAGAACCCTGGGGTAACAGCGGTGGCCAAAGGTCTCCCTGAATCCTCTAGAGGGAACCAGTCCTCTCTTCACACAGAATAGTTATTCCAACCCACAGAGGACACATCTGCAATTTGATAGAAAGGACTGGACTCAGCACAGGGGGTTGCAGTGTGTAGAAAATAGGGTCCTCACTTATTGAACACATGAAAATAACTTTATTTCCATGTAGAAGTGTATGCTTAATAGCACATAATTGCTTGCTTTACATGCATTCTTTGCAGATTTAGCTCCTGAAAATAAAGTTTCAAGCAATTATTAACTTGGATATCATTGTAAATCATGTACAAACTTTATGTGGATTGATGTCCCTCAATTGATTCTATTCATAATCAAATTCCTCTTATCTACTGAGTTTTGTTTTCTTTCACAACCGTCTTCAATGAATTAGAAGAATGGGGGGAAGAACAAAAAGATGGGCAATTTAATATGACTTTGTTTAATCTCATCACTATCAGTTCTGATGAATGAATTTGCATGTGTATAATACTATACTACTATAGGAGTGACAAGCTATAATGCTATCATGTGAGTCAGCAAAATAATGAGAGTTCTCAGGATGGAGAGCCTGTTATTTCAATCTGTCATAAGATCTCATTGGAAACTGGCTGTTCTCTTATGATGAACACAATTCATACTGATCAGTGCTGCATCAGTTGTGTTAGGTAACACCTTCTGTAGTCAATTTAAAAATATATGCTGTTATTTAAATACTAAACATTTTGAAATTCAATGATTTAGAGTAGAGTCAACATTAAAATCATAGTTCTGGGTAACCAGTCTCAGAGAAAAGTGTTTCTAAAAGACAAACTTACCTCCTGTGTTTCCAGTGGTAATTGCAACTTCTTGTGTTAACTGGAGCTATTTTAGTCCAGAACTATGCTACTCTATCACCGTCAGGGCCGGCTCTAGGTTTTTTGCCGCCCCAAGCTCTGAAAGCACAACTGCTGCCCAAGCAAAAAAAAAAAAAGAAAGAAAGAAAAAAAGGCTGGCCGGAACGCCACTCCTGGAAATGTGCTGCCCCAAGCACATGCTTGCTTTGCTGGTTCCTAGAGCCAGTCCTGCTTAGGCTGCATCTATCACAGAAAATTGAACTGTTGCTAATTAAGCTGGTGGTATCAGTTTAATCACAAAAGTGCAGGATATCCACTTTTGCCATGCTGATCTGGGTAAAGGACTGTTGCCCATTAATGTTCTGCTATACTGTTCCCGTAGCATTGCCCTCTGGGTGCTTATCCCACAGTTCCCAGCACAACTTCTGAGGTACACAGGGTACATTTGAAGCTGCTCACATTCTTCATTTTGAGTTTGTCTTATTGCCTACTTTAAATGGATTTGTCCTGCATGAGGAGTCACACATATATTGTGTGGGGTAGGGGCTACCCTTCGAGGCAGTCTACCTGGTTGAGGTACAATGTTTTCTGATGCACTGGGGTTTTGCATGCCCACAGCAATACTCTACTACAGAGTGCAGTGTTTGTGCACAAACACCTCTAAGGACAGGGCAACACCCACAGGCTGATGAAGGAGCAGGATTTCTCCCTACCCACGCTTTCCAGTCCTTGCTACATGGTTGGTGATCATGTGGATGCAAAAAGCTTCTGTGGCATGATAAGACCACAGACACAGACGGAACATCCAGCCAAAGCTTCTTAAGGACCTAACTAGAGATTGATCTAGGTGGTGCTCAATCTGCAAGGAAGCTACATCCCTCTGGGATTTGCAACAGTGATGATGATGGCCCCTCCCCATCTCATTTACTTTGGATAGTACCACTCTGGGCACTAGCCTTGTTATAGTCCTTGTGCCCTCTGAGTTCATGGGCTGTAACTGTGTAAAAGAGCTGGGGTGGAAAGGAAGAGCCTTCTTACTCAGGGCTAGGCACACTATGGTCCTTTGTTTGTAGCCTATGTTCATAATCAATTTCCAAATGTTATTCCCATCCTTCTCGGTATGTTTTCCTGCTTCTTATTCATTACTTCATTTGCATAAATCTCCCCACTGTCAAATCCTCCAATTTCTCATTCCTCCTCCATGCAAAATCCATAAAATTCTCTGACAACTCCATCATTTCAATATTTGTTTGTCATAGATGCTCATCCATTTGGAAAGAGCAAATCAGCAGATAAGTCCACTTGAAAATATGTGTCTAAGGACTTCAGAGCGGATACATTTTTCATCTTTTCCAACAGTCATATCACAAAAATTGTGTTCCCCGTTCTCTGATTCAGCCCAGCTGCAGCCAGCACAGGACTGGAGAAGACGAGGGCAAAGGCGGCTTTAATCTGGCCAGCCGCTTTACCTGATGCACAGCTGCACAAACACCCAATGGATTATTGTAACAGCCAGGGATCAGGCAGCAGCAGTGGCACCCAGGCTGTGCCATCTATTGCTAGGGACTGAGAGAAAGAGGTAGCATGCTTGGAGATTACCCTTGCCTGGGGAACCCTTGGGGAGTTTGTTAAGCCTTGTTCTCGGCAGCTATACCCAGAATCATGCAAAAAGTCAGAGACAAATCTAATGATAAATATTTAAGCTCAGTAAAAGTATGTTTTACTGCATAAAGGAAGCCAGTGGATGTTTTCCTCCAAGAAAGCTTGTTTGAAAATGGCAATTCCCCTCCCCTCCTTTTCTGTGTAGCAAGGCTTAGGCTATTGTTTCTGATCACAATAAAGTCCTTCCCCCCCTCAGTTTTCCAGGATCTATCTCTGGCACATCCTGTCTGAGAGAACTACTTTGGCTATACAGTCACCATTAGTTGTCCCCAATTTCCTCTCATTGGATCCTGGTTAGGGTGACCAGAAAGCAAACATAAAAAATCAGGACAAGAGGTGGGGGTAATAGGTGCCTATATAAGGAAAAGCCCCCCAAATCGGGACTGTCCCTATAAAATTGGGACATCTGGTCACCCTAATCCTGGTAACAATGATTCATGTGTTTCAGGTAATTTTTTTATCTTTATTCTAATTACTTGTGGATTTTGTTTTCAGTCATTATGAAAAGGTTAAATGGACAGTCACTTACAATGGCCTGTTTTATTAGAATTTTTTTTACCACTACCATACTTTGAAACATCGTTTCTTACTTCAGTCTCATGGAACTGAGTTTCCATGATGTCCATTCTCAATTCCAGAACATCTAAGGATTCTGTCTTGTTTTCCAAGGAGGAAGAGTACCTTGAATTCTGATTTTTCTGCAGTGCTCATAGAATCCAGCCCTCTGTGCTGTCTACTGCAGTTAGTAATGTCTAATATATCTTATATTGTCAGATCAGATTCATGAGACAGGATAGGTGAGGAGGCTGCCTGTTTATGTCCAAACACTTCCTGATCTAACAGGCCTTTCACACACCCCTTTTCAGGTCATTCCTGCTCTTGGCAATAATAATCTGAATGGGTAGCTGGGAAAGGAGCTGGCAGACACAATACAAATGTACATTATTGCCACTTCAGCAGCATATGCATTTACTGATCTGGAGAGCAATTTTTTTACAGTACCAGAAGTAGGTTCAAGGATTATAAAATATTCTACTTGTCAATAACTGAAAATAAACTCTTTGATGTAATCAAACCATAAAAAAAAAGCCATAAAAACAAGATTGTCAAATAGATAAAGTCCTTCAGTGACCAATATCTTAAAGAAATCTGTGGCAAATTGATATTCATTTCATGTGGGAAATTTGGCTTTAAATTCTAGGGATAATATGATTCATAACAATAACATCATATTGGATGGTTCATCTCCTTGTTTACTCATTTGTTTAATTTTGCCAATGGTCTGATAATACCAATGTGACTGGTGATGTGGAAAAAAATGAGTCACCAAAACCAAATAATGTCACTCATAAAAACAGTAGAATGCTGGTTCATTTTTATTTTATCCTGGCCCTGTCATTTTAACTGCTGAAACAAATAGCACTGGTGACAGAGAGAGCCACTAAAATATATGTCAATGTAAAATATAGATCAGTGGAATGAACAGTTATTATTTGCTTGTCAAAGCAAGATCAGATGGTATGATGATAAGTTACGCTACAGTATACAGTCAGAGTTAAATAAATACATTCAGAGTTAAATAAAGTTGCTTTAGTTTTATAGGTTTCAGAGTCATCTTACAGAGGAGTGGCATGATAAAGTGGACATTCCAAACAGCAAGGATAAAACATGTGCTATATGGTGTGTTCCTTTCAGTGCTATTTAAAATTTTTCTTCCAGGATGTTGAAACTCTTTGTTTCAAATATGTCTTATCTAATGAATATTTAAAGAAGAAAAGGGCAACATTCCTAGACAAATATTAAACAGCATGGAGGACAAGAATAAAACTACACAAAGCACATTTACACATGTCCAAATTATAGCAGTAAGGTTCTCAAACAAACCATTGCCAGAAGAAGATAGATGTAAGAATAGTTTTTAATTAGTAAATTTTTAATGTAAATTAGCCTTTTAAGAGGAGTCCACTATATATAACTTTATGTACACTTAACATTATTTAAGATCAGAATTCATGTACAATACCTTAGCTTTATCCCTCATGGAACCTTTTCCCAGGATAGACATTTTTGCACCTGTCTCCTCCTGTAACCTCTTCAAGGAGTTTCCTCTTGGTCCAAGCAATTTCCCAACAAAATTGAACTAGAAAGTGAATAAAATATCTGTTTTTAGATAAAGATGAACTAAAGAAATGGTGTTCAGAATGTGCAATAAATATTGGTAAGCAAGTTACTGGAGAAGGAAAGGATAACATATTGGCTTCAGTAAACATATGTTTCTAAAAGGATAATTTTCCTTTCTTTTAAAAAATATGATTTAGTTCTAGGGATTAAGTCCTGAGTATAAACAGGCTGTGTACCAAGGAGATTCATGGGGTTTGTGGGAGAACTTAGGCATCCTCCTCTCTAGGCCTAAAGACAGCAGAAGTATTCATGATTCCTGTGTTCTTCCTGTGTGTATGTTTGTAGGGGAGAACAACCAAATGCTCATTGTAATCATAGATATACTGGAATCACTTCTATTACTCCCCTTCCCCATCTCCCAAACTCCATGGCTGTTTGGGCACAGGGAAACCTGTGGATCTCTTCTCTCCTGCAAGTTGGTGATGTGGACTTGAGCCTGCCATTTCCATACAGTAGAACTGCACTTGCTGAGCCTGCTTTTCTCTGTTTTTGCCATGTTTGGGGTGCTCACTAAGGGGACAAAATTGCCCCCAAAACACAGTAATGTATGTGTGGGAAACTTCTTGAAGTTAGTGTACTGTACCCTGTGTATAACTTTTCACATAAAGAATCTGACACATCAGAAAAGGGCAGACAAATAAACAGTGACAAGTTTTTAAAGTGCTTGTACACAAATGCTAGAAGTTTGAATAATAAGATGGGTGAACACAGTGCCTTGTGTTAAAGGAGGATATTGATATGATAGGCATCACAGAAACCTGGTGGAGTGAGGATAATCAATGGGACACAATCATTCCAGAGTACAAAATATATCGGAAGGACAGAACACGTAGTGCGGGAGGTGGTGGTGAGCGGCACTGTATGTAAAAGAAAATGTAGAATCAAATGAAATAAAAATCTTAAATGAATCCACATGTTCCATAGAATCTCTATGGATAGTAATTCCATGCTCTAATAAGAATATAACAGTAGGGATCTATTATCGACCACCTGACCAGGATAGTGATAGTGATGATGAAATGCTAAGGGAGATTACAGAGGCTATCAAAATAAAGAACTCAATAATAGTGGGGGATTTCAATTATCCCCATATTGACTGGTACATGTCACCTCAAGATAAAATGCAAAGACAAAATTTCTCGATACTTTAAATGACTGCTTCTTGGAGCAGCTGGTACAGAACCCACAAGAGGTGAGGCAACTCTCGATCTAGTCCTGAGTGGAGCGCAGGATCTGGTCCAAGAGGTAACTATAACAGGACCGCTTGGAAATAGTGACCATAATATAATAACATTTAACATTCTTGTGGTGGGAAGAACTCCTCAACAGCCCAACACTGTGGCATTTAATTTCAGAAAGGGGAACTATGCAAAAATGAGGAGGTTAGTTAAACAGACATTAAAAGGTACAGTAACTAGAGCAAAATCCCTGCAAGCTGCATGGACACTTTTCAAAGACACCATAATAGAGGCTCAACTTAAATGTATACCCCCAAATTAAAAAACACAGTAAAAAAACTAAAAAAGAGCCACTGTGGCTTAACAACTATGTAAAAGAAGCAGTGAGAGATAAAAAGGCATCTTTTAAAAAGTGGAAGTCAAATCCTAGTGAGGTAAATAGAAAGGAGCATAAATACTGCCAAATTAAATGTAAAAATGTAATAAGAAAAGCCAAAAAGGAGTTTGAAGAATAGCTAGCCAAAAACTCAAAAGGTAATAACAAAATGTTTTTTAAGTACATCAGAAGCAGGAAGCAGAAGCAGTGGTGCTCCTGGACGATCGAGATACAAAAGGAGCACTTAAAGACGATAAAGTCATCACAGAGAAACTAAATGAATTCTTTGCTTCAGTCTTCATGGCTGAGGATGTTAGGGAGATTCCCAAACCGGAGGGAATCTTTTGTAGGTGACAAATCTGAGGAATTCTCACAGATTGAAGTGTCACTAGAGGAGGTTTTGGAATTAATTTAGAAACTTAACAGTAACAAGTCACCAGGACCAGATGGCATTCACCCAAGAGTTCTGAAAGAACTCAAATGTGAAATTGCGGAACTATTAACTATGGTTTGTAACCTGTCCTTTAAATCAGCTACTGTACCCAATGACTGGAAGATAGCTAATGTAACGCCAATATTTAAGAAGGGCTCTAGAGGTGATCCTGGCAATTACAGACCAGTAAGTCTAACATCAGTACCAGGCAAATTAGTTGAAACAATAGTAAAGTATAAAATTGTCAGACACATAGAAGAACATAAATTGTTTCGCAAAAGTCAACATGGCTTCCGTAAAGGGAGATCATGTCTTACTAATCTATTAGAGTTCTTTGAGGGGGTCAACAAACATGTGGACAAGGGGGATCCCGTGGACATAGTGTACTTAGATTTCCAGAAAGCCTTTGACAAGGTCCCTTACCAAAGGCTCTTACGTAAATTAAGTTATCATGGGATAAGAGGGAAAATCCTTTCATGGATTGAGAACTGGTTAAAACACAGGGAACAAAGGGTAGGAATAAATGGTAAATTTTCAGAATGGAGAGGGGTAACTTGTGGTGTTCCCCAAGGGTCAGTCCTAGGACAAATCCTATTGAACTTATTCATAAATGATCTGGAGAAAGGGGTAAACAGTGAAGTGGCAACGTTTGCAGATGATACTAAACTGCTCAAGATAGTTAAGACCAAAGCAGACTGTGAAGAACTTCAAAAAGATCTCACGAAACTAAGTGATTGGGCAACAAAATGGCAAACAAAATTTAATGTGGATAAATGTAAAGTAATGCACATTGGAAAAAATAACCCCAACTATACATACAATATGATGGGGGCTAATTTAGCTACAACTGATCAGGAGAAAGATCTTGCAGTCATCGTGGATAGTTCTCTGAAGACATCCACACAGTGTACAGTGGCAGTCAAAAAAGCAAACGGGATGTTAGGAATCATTAAAAAAGGGATAGAGAATAATACAGAGAATATCTTATTGCCCTTATATAAATCCATGGTATGCCCACATTTTGAATACTGCATACAGATGTGGTCCCCTCATCTCTACAAAGATATACTGGCATCAGAAAAGGGCAACTAAAATGATTAGGGGTTTGGAACGGGTCCCATATGAGGAGAGATTAAAGAGGCTAAGACTTTTCAGCTTGGAAAAAGGAGACTAAGGGGGGATATGATAGAGGTATATAAGATCTTGAGTGGTGTGGAGAAAGTGAATAAGGAAAAGTTATTTACTTGTTCCCATAATATAAGAACTAGGGGTCACCAAATGAAATTAATGTGTAGCAGGTTTAAAACAAATAAAAGGAAGTTCTTCTTCACTCAGTGCACAGTCAACCTGTGGAACTCCTTGCCTGAGGAGGTTGTGAAGGCTAGGAGTATAACAGGGTTTAAAAGAGAACTGGATAAATTCATGGAGGTTAAGTCCATTAATGGCTATTAGCCAGGATGGGTAAGGAATGGTGTCCCTAGCCTCTGTTTGTCAGAGGGTGGAGATGGATAGCAGGAGAGACATCACTTGATCATTACCTGTTAGGTTCACTCCCTCTGGGGCACCTGGCATTGGCCACTGTTGGTAGACAGGATACTGTGCTGGATGGACCTTTGGCCTGACCCAGTATGGCCATTCTTATGTTCTTTTCCTTAACGTGTTTTGTGTTAAATTCAGCGGACAAATGGCAGAATGCCTCAGCCAGTGGCATGTTAATAGCTGGTTGTAATTTGGTGAGACAAAAATATGCAAATGACAGGGCAGCCTGACTTGTATCACTCTGGTATTCTTCCATAGAACAAAAGGAATGTATCGTAATCTCACTTAAAGAATCAAGTGGTAGAACGGGCAGGGTTGGAAGGAATATGGGAAATACAGCATGACAAAAGGAAAGAGAAACTTAGTATATGCTGAGGTGGTCCAAATGACCCTCAGATGACTAATAAGATGATGTAAACATCTCACCATATGATGTATACTCAAATCTCAGAGCACAACAGAATTTAGCTTCACAAAATACCTAGGAGATAGGGGGTATTCTTGTCTCTATTTTACACAAGAGAAAAATGAGGCACAGATTAAGTGGTTTGCTCTACATCACAAGCTGTCTGTAGTCAACCCAAGTATAGAACCCAGGTAGCCTGAATCTCAGTCTTTTACTTTAACTATAGATCATGGATAGTTACACATAAGAGCATAAGAGGTACTTGTGTAAATCACACACTATGGATGAATTTCTTTATCAAAAATATAAAAGGGAGGTGTTTTCTCTTAATATATAATCACCAGCATCACAGCCAAATTAAACACTTATGGAAAAACTCTGCTGTCAGCTAAATCTGTGTAGCTGATTTCAGCAGGGTTCACAGGTTTTACTGGAAGTAGAATTTGACCCCTAACATTAGTCACAGGAAACACATATATTGAACTTCCCCACAAAGATAGCTCAGAGGACTGACAGAAAAGCTACACCCTTCATTTGTTTTGAAAGTCCATTCACTAGTCTAAGACCCTCTGATTGTAATGTAGTATTGGACACAGAGGTACAATCCCGAAGGTTCAAACAAACCAGAGTGTATTACATATTACTCAGGAATCATAGTGCCTGGACTACACCCTGATCCAGATGGGTACACTTCTGGCCTGGAATGTGCCAATACCAGGTTTCTTAAAGGAACATTCCACTACACTGCTAGCAAACCACATCACTTAGCAAACCTGACAGACTGTCTCTCTTCTCAAGAGTTTGTTCAACAGTTGAGAGGTGCTCAAGCTGGCACTCCCGTGGGATATGGAAGAGAGGACTGGTACTCTTAACGAGGGACCTCAACTTTGGAATTCACTCTGCTGATTGGCCTGAAACAACCCTAATTGGTTGTTGACCTGTAGAGTATACTGCAAAGTCCAACTATTTGGGCAGGTGCCTGGGGAGGTCTGAGGCTCTGGTGGGAGTGTGGAAATAAGGAAATTTC